ATAGAGTTGTCGCGGCAGGCTTCCAACGGCCTGAGCGCGGCACACAGGACGACCGAGCGCTCCAAGCACCTCCGCCGCCCTCGCCAGCAAACGCGTCCCTCCGATTCACCGCGAACATAACCCACCACCGGCGGCTGTCGCGCCTCGCATCCTTCAACCGAACTCGCGCAACATAGCGAGTCCCAAGCTTGTCTTCTTCGTCCGCTGACCCCCGCCGCTCGTCTCGTTCAGCTCAGCGGCCAGTATCCTCTCCCAACGCGTCGGCTAAGACACCTTTCTCGCGAATCGGTTTGCGCCCGGAAACTCGACGCAGCCAACCGCCCACAGCTCCTCTCCCGGTTCGATGCCAGCGCGTCTCTCCAGCATGGAGCCCTCTTCGCCCGAAGTCGACGCGCAAGCCCCAGCTGACTCCACCGCCGCGGGCAGTCGCCGCAAGTCCGGACGCGTGACTAAGAAGCCCGATACAATTTACTCTTCTGCGCCTGCGCCCACCAAGCGCAAGCGCAACCAAGCTGACGAGGGCGATGACGATGAAGGCGCCAATGCAGACGACGCGGTGGACGACGACGCCGACGAGGAAGAAGACGAGGAGAGCAGCGAGGACGAGCCAGACGAGGAGGAGATTCGTGAAAAGAAGCGAAAGAAGGTCGTCGCCCGAAAGACCAAGCCGCAAAAGAAGCCCGCTGCGAAAAAGAGCAAGCCTAACGGAGAGCTTAGCCTGGCGATAAGGCCAGCCGGCAAACCAAAGAAGGCGAAAAAGCCGCGCCCGAGCAAGATTGCGGCTGCTGAGGCAGTTGGTGGTCTCTATGGTATGCTGCCGAGCAAAGACGTGATTGCGCCGGTGCTGACTGTCTGATTTAGCTGATATCTTTGCGAGCGGGGACAACCTTAACGATGTGGCGGCGCGGTGGTTGCACCGGTTCAACGATCACAACTCGCGCGAGCTTGCGGAGCTTATAAACTTCGTCCTCAGATGCGCCGGATGCGATTCCAAGGTCGACGACCACGACATGGAGGACCCCGACAATTGTGACAGTAAGCTGAATGACATACAAGAGGAATACCAAGCTGTGAGTAAGATAGCCCACGGGCGAGGTTCTGGTCTGACAGCATTAGCAAAACAACGTCGACTATCCATTGATCGCAAAAGGCAGAGGTACCGCAAACTTTCGCCACAACATAGTCGGCTTCTTCAACTCACTTGTCGAAACACTGGCCGAGTCCGAAATGCTGTACAACAGCCCTGAGATCATGGAGAATATCCACATTTGGCTCAGCACCATGTCTTCGGGCAAGAGCCGGCCTTTTCGTCACACCGCGACCGCCATTTCCACTGCCATCATCAGCGCGCTTTGTGAAGTGGGAAAGAAACTCGTCGAGAAGAATTCCAGGGCGATACGCCAAAGGGAATCCGAGGCTAGGCGCAATAAGAATAACAAAGGTAGAGTGGCGGAGCTTGATCAGAAGAGCAAGCAGGCAATTGAGCAACAAGAGAAACTGGAGGCCATCATCAGGGATTGGTTCGACACCGTCTTTGTCCACCGTTACCGCGACGTTGATCCAAGGATACGATTGGAGTGCGTCCAGGGTCTGAGTGACTGGATCAACACTTTCCCCGACCTCTTCTTTGATGGCAACCATATTCGATACCTTGGCTGGGTCCTCTCAGATGTGTCAGCCGCCACAAGATTGGAGGTAGTGAAGCAATTGCAGGGGCTGTTCAAGGACGCGGACAAACTTGGTGGTCTGAAGACCTTTACGGAGAGGTTCCGCCCGAGGATGGTGGAGATGGCTACTCAGGACGCAGATCCCAGCGTCCGCGCCGCGACCGTCGAACTGCTCCACACCCTTCTTGAAGTCGGCCTTCTTGAGCCTTCCGATATCGACAGCATCGGTCGCCTGATATTCGATGTTGAGCCACGCGTGAGGAAAGCCGTGGTGGGATTTGTGGGATCCAACATCGATGTTATGTATGATGCCAACGTGGACGAGCTGGGGGGACAAGAGGCCCTGGATGAGGCTTTGGTCACAGTCGACAACGATGACGACTTTGAGAACCCAAGACTTGAGTGGCTGAGGCTCAAATCATTGGTAGAAAACTTACAAGTCTACGATGAGAGCGACGAAAGCCTCCCCAGCCAGATCGATCGATTCGCCAATAGTCATGTTATGGTCGCTGCCGGAGTAGAATCCCGCATCCAAATCGCCGCCGAAGCGCTCTACGATACGTTGCCTGAGCTCAAGAAGTGGGAGGTCATTGCCGGATATCTTCTGTTTGATCATTCCCAGACCTCAGGTGGTGCGCAAACCAATGGCGCAACAGATGACCCTGAGGCTGCATTCAAGCTCCTGTGCGAGCTCAATGAGAAGGAGGAGATTATTCTGCTCGACATCTTGAATGCGTCGGTAAAGATGCGTTTGACGCACACGGTGGAAGCCGGAAAGCCTCACAACCAAAAGTCCAAGCTCACCAAGGCGCAAAAGGAAAGCTTGCAGGAGGACCAAGAAGTTGCCGCTCGACACCTGGCCGTTCTGATACCACAACTGCTCAACAAGTTTGGCGCGGTCCCCGACGCGACTTCTGCTGTCCTTCGTTTGGAGCACGTTCTCAACCTCGAGGTATTCCAGGAGCTACGCCAGGATAGCACGACATACAGTAAACTTCTGGACGACATCAACAAGCAGTTCATGAGCCACGGCAACGAAGCAGTCCTAGTGGAGGCAAGTCGAGCGCTCCTGCACGCGAAAAGCTACGAGGAGCTCGGCGAAATCACCGAAGGGAAGCTGCAGGTATTGTGGGAAGACACCGTGGCAGCGCTTCATGCCTTGCACAAGGGCAAGCCTCTTTCACGAAGAGGCAATCTCAGCGACAATGTTCTCTCTGCCGTTTCCAACACTGTTCTTCGCATATCGAAACTCGCGAGCATATCCGACTGCGTCGAACCCCTTGAAGCACCACCCTCGATTACACCTAAGAAGACCAAACGCAATAGCAGCAACACCGCCGAAGCCTCCAACGCCGTCACCATCCTCATTGATCTTGTCCGTCGCGGCGTGCCCAACTCTGACACCTCTACCGCTCAATCAGCCACCGAAGACGTTATTGCTGTCAATGCAGCCCAATCCCTTTTGTTCTATTTTCTGTGGAAGATACGTTACTGGGAGGCTCTAGTGAAGGATCCCTCCATTGGTTCCGTCCCAGACGATGATGTTGAAGCTATTGCCCTCCGTCGCGACGCGTTCAATTCCGCTCTCGAAGAAGTCCTCCGTAAACGCCAGGGTGCAGATGAAGTCCGCCTCACGGCAGCAGGAATCATGCTCGACTTATTCACGGCTTTCTCCTCACTCAGATCCGCGCGCGCTGCCAGAGACGAGAAGCGCCACGCAGAGAGGCAAAAGAGAGAGAATGCCCAGACCAATGGCAACGGCGATCATGCAGCTGCGCAGCAAGATGAAACTCAGTACAATGACGACTTCTTAGCGCTTGTCCTCCGCATGCCAAACCCGAAACAGAAAGTTTTGCTCCAGATCCTCGGCGCCGCCGAGCGTGCTTTTGCCAAGAAGGCAGGCAAAAGCCTTCTCGGTCCTGCCGAGGATGACGAGCCTGATGACATTGAGGACGAGCCCGAATCGAGTGACGAGGAATCTGACGTCGAAGACGAGTCTGAGCAGAGGCAAATGATCAAAGCAGGCGAAGCACTGCTAGCGGAACAGCGTCTGTGCGAACTTGCGGCCAAAATCGTCCTTGCCATCGTGGCTGGTGTACTGGACGGCAAACCGTCAGAGAACGGCTTGGACAATGAGTGGTCAGATGACGACGACGAAATTGGCGAGGCTGGATACAACACGAATGGCCCCATTCGCCGCCGTTTGGAGCGAAACAAGAACCGCTTGGGCAACAACTTCAAGGAAGTCGTGGCGTACCTGGAGGCGGGTCACGGCGAGAAAAGCAAAAAGTCATCGGCGGCCAGCAAGAGCAGAGCAAAGAGCAGAGCGGCAAGCAGTGCTCCCCCCAACGCTGGACGAGGCGGTCAGACCAAGCAACAACCGGCTGCGAAGAGCGCCGAGATTGTCGTCAGCGAAGACGAAGACGACGAAGAGGCCGATAGGGAGAGGGAGGAAGAAGAGACGCGACAGCGCGAGCTGGAGGTCCACGAAGACGAGGAGATGGCGGACGACGGCCCAGAGGGTGATGGCGAGCGCGAAGGCGAGCAAGAAAGCGTGCTGGGCGATTGAGCGCACGTACATACCAGGTAGGTTAGCAGGGTCTTAATTCGGGCATGGCTGAAGGCGCACGTGCAGCGAGCGGGGCGGATCGGACAGTCAAGGACACCTCTGGCGTTTTTTCACTCTGCGGCGGATTTCTTCGTTTCCTTTTCTCTTTTTGCTTGGTACCGCGAATCTTCTTGAGCGGGACATCGGAATGAGTTTTTCACGCGACGCGGGGCTGCTGCTGTTGCATCATCAGACAACAGAGTCGGGCAGGCCAAACGTCAATGGATCGAAATCATTTTCCCCTTCAGCCTTGTCTTTTCTTTTCTGTGTGCTTACTTGTGTGTATTCCCTTGTATTGCGTATGTGTTACGACAGTTTGAGGCTGCCTCGCTGACTGCGAGGTGCGTGGTCACAAATAATCATCTCCTATCAACAGTCGTACGGCTCAACATCGTGAGCAGAAAGTTTCTTGAGCATATTCATCCTGCTTCCATGACACCCGCCTTGCACATGTCACTTGCGCATCGCAAGCCAACAAGAGAATTGACAGCCTCTACCAACACATCTCCCTCGCTTTCCATGTCAAGCAGAAACATGACCTCAACCTGACAACTACAGCATCAACCACCAAGTCGCCCTCCTTGCTCTCTCCTAAGTGCGTCGTCCTTTGCATTTCTACACCGACGACGGAACCAAAAACAAATGCACAAGCCAGTTCTCCTAGCAAAACGACAGAAAAAGCCCACCGCGAACGCCAGAAAAAATAAAAAATAAACAAAAGGAAATTCCATCGCCGAGAATCGAAATCGGGTCTCCAGATGTTTCGGCACCATGCGCATGCCTCTCAGGCTGCGTGCACCGGCGGCTGCGTGAAAATCTGGCATGCTGTGCCACTACACCACGATGAACTCAGAGGCTGGTTCGTTGTTGGAGAGGAGCTCGGAGAAAACGTAGTATGAGGGGAAGAGGGTAAGAAAGTGAGTCACCAGAGACATAAGAGTTGATGAAGGGAGAGCGCAGGGGAGTATAGAGACGTTGGGGAAAGTTGGACGGAGTCGTTTGTGAGTCATGTTTACTCTAAGGAATGTATTTACAGCATATGTACGTAAGTGCGTGAAAACATAAGAACAGTGTGCTACCCATCCGTCTACCACATAGCCCTGTCGAGCCGGATGTCCCGTCCAAAACAAATCAAAAACATGCGATGCGTATTTGCAGTCGGTCACTTCTCCCTCCGTTACGACGTTATCTACAAAGACGAAGTCTTGATCATCTACTGATCCAGTCATCAAATGGCTGACATTAGATGCCTACGCCGTGGCCCCGTTGCCGCCAACGGTGACTATAAACTTCTTTGGGGCGCCGTACACAGCGCCGCTCTGGTCGGAACCGCCGCTGGGCGCGACATCGTCATACGGGAACGCGTAGCCTCTCTTGTCGAGGTTTGCAGCGTGGACGATGCGGGAGTAGTGATTCGTGACAGGGTTGGTATAGTAGTTGCTGGTGCTGGCCGCAGGCGTTTTGGTGTCGACAAGGAACGTACTGCGGTTGAAGGCTGCGGCCAGGCGCGGGATAATGGCGTTGCGCTCGGCGGAGCCAGAAGGATTGGCGAAAGGGCCGGTGGAGTTGCTGTGAAGAGATTAGCCCTGTACGTTGACATGTATGACTTTGTTCCCGTACCTGAAAATGTCGGCGGCAGAGGGTTTGGCAAAGGTCTGGGATCCAACAGTCAAGACACCGTTGCTGACCTTGCCGGCGAGAACGCCGTAGCTGGCTTGGGTATCGACCTTGAGGGTGTCTGACGAGTACTTGTTCCAGACGGCGTTGACATAAGAGTCGTAGTATCCACTAAAGAGAGAGTTGTTGGTAATGATGCCGTCGTTGGGAGACAGAGCTCGTAGGTTGCTTCCATCGGACGCCTTAACGATGAGGCTGGACCAGCCTTGACCATCAGATGCACTTTGTGCCCGCAGGTTGGAGCATACAGTGTCAAGACCGTTTTGGTCCATGCCGGCGACGTGCGAAGTGGCTCCAGACGTGTTCTCGAAGTCCAAGGCGATTGGAATGGAAACAAAATCAACATAGGTGATGTTGGCATAGAGCTCGGTGGTGTTCCACGTGAATTCGGCGAAGTCCCAGCGCTTTTTGATGCTGGGGTCCGTGGGATTGGTAACGGAGGGCTCGACCAGAGCTGGACCCGGGTTGAGCAAGAAAGTCAGTTCCTCGCCGATGCAAAACCAAATGCGTGCGCCGGCCAAGTGTGGAATGGTCACAGTGGTCGTGCTTCCCGGAGCGCCAAGTCGAATTGAGCAGTTTTGGCTGAGGGGAGTCTGTGTTTTCGACGGAGAGGTTGGATAGTACCCCGTCTTGCCGTCTGACTGAAGTAAAAAGAGAGCGTTGTTGTTGTCGAGGGCTCTCCCAGTGATGTAGGCATACACAGTGCTCGAGTTCGTTTTGTTGACAATGCCAATGTCCAAGGTGGTAGCAGTAGCGTTGGCCATGTTGGGCTTATTGGAAAGATTTACTGCAGGTGCGTCCGGCTTTTCGCTTGGATTCGCTGGTGGAGGACGATTGCCGGGAACGGGTGGAACCTTGGCTAGCTTCTTGGAGGAATTCCCGAAACGTTCAAGTAGCTTCTGGACTGTGTTGCTTGCGGGCATGATGAGAGATTGAAATGGAGGAAACCAGCAATCTGGACCGAGGCTTTATATCAGTACTCTCAAGGCACTAGATGAAATGAGACAAAATCACAAGACGTGGGCACACAGGAAAGCGGCGGCGGTCGGGCGGTGGGAGCTGAAGGGAATGGGAGGGCAAAGTCAGTCTGGCTCAATCATCTGAATCAAAAGGCCAGCCAGGCGTGGATGAAGCATGGGCAAGGGCGGAGAGTATTCGGCAGGTTTGAAGCGTCGTCAGGAGCAGAAGACGTCAGCGCATGGGCAGCCAAGAAGAACAAGGCCAGGCGCGTGCCGAACGGAGAAGGCTGGGGCCAGCAATTGCTCCTTGTCGTGGCGGCGAGGGGCGGCATAAGGCTCTTCCAATTGTAGGGCTGCAATAGCATGCATGCCATGGGCAGAGCTAGCATGGAGTCGGTCATCCGCGTGCGCGTTTTCCCCAGATTCTTCGCAACGGGCCGCACCAAGGCAGTGCAGTGTGTTCGCATGACTGCCTGAGAGGCGCCGGCGCTGTCAATCGCGTGGGTGGGAGAGCGATGGCTCGGCAGTTGCAAGTAACGGCGTTGCGGAAATCAATTGTGGAGGCTGAGGGCAAGACACGGCGGTCCGGCATTTGTTCAGCCTCGAGTCGACTCGGCTTCGCGATCCGTCGAGAGCAAGCGGAATGTGGAACAGAGACGAGGTGACGTTGGTGTTGAAAAAGAACCGATAGGTGTGGCGGACAACCGAGCGAGGTTCTTCCCCGGAGCTATTGACGCTATTCTCATGCAGGCAAACGCTAGCGGCTCACCCGCCGAACAAGATGAGACTGCACGCTCCCACTCCAACACACCACACCCATCATTGACTCTCCCAAAAGCCATCGCCATGATCGTTTCCTGCTCGATCCTCGCAACTTCGAGCCCCCACAATGCCGCCTCCTGTCTAAGGCCACCTGCCCACTCGAGAAGTGCCCATGAATGACGCGTCCTCCCTTGGTCACAACCTCTTCCCACCTTTTGCAACTTCGAAATCCTCGCGTTGATTCCTCTTTCTCGGCGCCCAGAACAAACGGCACCAGCCTCGACCACATCTACCTCTATCGCTGATGACTCGGTCATGCCCGACGCTCCCAGCCACGGCGCCGGAAGAAGTCTCGACCCGGAAGGAGCCAGGCGCTTCCAACGTTGCCTTGGACATACTTGGACCCTCTTCTTTTCGACTGGCTCTCCGCGACGGTGACTGGGAGCCGTTCTTGGTTATTTCCGCTCGAGAGAAGATGATCCCGCCATTTGTCATTTCGCTGTTGCGACTCTCAACGACTGAGCGTGCTTTTCGAAGTTTTCGGGGACTTTTGAATCCCTCCTCCATCCTGCTCCCTCTTGCCTGATTCGGTCACAAGTCCGCCCGCTGCCAGGTACCAGAGAAATGAATGCAGCACAACAACGTTGGGCGCTCGCTACATCTCAAAAACCGCCATCATTATCAGATGACTACGCTTGCAGATTCCGGCTAGAGACCCGCTGTCTTGAAGCGCTCCAGCACATGACCCACATCATCATTTCTAAAAGCTCCGCGTCATCATTTTCCCGCTCCACCAAGCTGCCACATGGATCGATCGACGCTCACGCTGCGCGATGCGGGGCCATCACTTCCTGGATCATCGTGTGGGACGTCTTTCCAAGAGGATTATTGTCTCGACAGGGCTTCTATGTCTGACCACTCATGTCCTTCCCTCTACTCCCAGTCTACAGGAATACGCGACCTCGACGCTACTTCCAGCTCAACTCCCAGTCCTTCTCCCACGCAGTCGTCCCATTGCCCATCACGTCACTGAATCCCGTCACAACTAGCACACCACTCTCCTTATCCCACGTCTTTGCGTCATCTTCCAGCACTTCATCACCAAATTTCACCGTTTCCGGTTCTTGCTGCAGTCCCCACACTTTGACTTCCTTCAACCCGTTTTCGTCGTGCCACTCGCCGATAGCAGACGCACTCAACTGCCCCTCAGTCACCACAAATGCTACGTTCAGCGTCGCGTTCGGAGCGACGCTCTCCCCATCGTCCAAATACAGCGATCCCCTCGCCTCGCCGCTACTGTCTAGAGCGATGAGCAGGCTCCAAGGAGACTGCCGCGCCGCTGCAGTCGTCATCAGCGGCTCCTGTAGGGGAAGGACATTGCCACCGCGCACGAATACAGGAATATGCGTCGTTGGCGCATCCAGCGTCTTGTTCTGGCCGGGCTCCACAACGACTTCCGTCCCACTGTACCAGTCGAACCATCGGGTGCCCTGAGCAACACCGGGGAATACGCCCGCAGTCTGGTTGGCGTTGGGCGCGAGGACCGGGACGACCATGACGGCCGGACCAAGCAGAAATTGCGTGTCGACGGCAGCGAGGGTGGGGTCAGCGGAGAACTCCCATGCCAGGGCCCGCAGGACCGTGTCGCCGTTCGCGTGGGCAGCGCGAAAGAGGGAGTACATGTAAGGCAGCAGAGCGTAACGGATGGCCATGGCGCGGCGCGAAGCTTCGGCAACGGTAGCCCAGCGGTACGGCTCCTGCGGCACGGCAGCGTAGACGTTGTGGTTGCGATAAAAGGGCATGAAGGCATTGAGCTGCATCCAGCGTGCGCAGAGGTCGAGACCACTGTTGCCGTTGAAGCCGCACGTGTCGGTTCCGAACATCGGGATGCCATACAGCGCAAACGTCAGCGCCTGCGGAATGCCAAAGTACATGTATGAAAAGCGGCTGTAGTTGTCCCCGCCCCAGTGGCCCGCTTGTCGACCGCTTCCAGCAAACGTCGACCGCCCTATGATAAAGGGGCGTTTGCCCGGATGAACCTCGAGTAGGCCGTGGTACGTTGCGTTGAGGATCTGAAGTCCAAACAGATTGTGGACGTCATATTCTTGGACTCCGTTGAAATGCGTGGCGTTTGGGCTGACGGCGTGGACTCCGAGGTCGCCCTGGACATTGTCAATGACGTAGGGAGGGTGGTCCACATTTCGAGTGCCTGGAGTCGGCGTGGTACGCAGGTAACTGACGACGGAAGAGCCACCTGCCGTCGCCGTTGCAGCCGCCTGGCTTGAGCTGGCCGACGAAGCCGCCGCCGCTTCAGTGGCGTTGGTCACGTTGAATCCTTCTGGATAGTCGACGATAAGATTACCAGGCGAACCGGGCAGCGAAAAGGCTGCGTGGACAGGATTCAGACTGAGATTGTTCGAGCCGCACGAGCCCACGCAAAACGACGACAC